CAAAAGTTTTGCTGACTCTTTCAATAATGATTCTCACAGGTTTTGTTTTTATTTCTTTAGTGAGAAGTGTTATGAGAGTTTATTGCAAGGAAGCATTGTTGAAAGTGTTTTATTTTCAGAGCTGATGTACCCTTGGTTGTACCAATGCCCATTTGCAGTAACAATGCTGTTAGGATCTGGAGCCACTTACAGTTTTATTTATGGTCTTGGTTTTTCAGTCACAATTAGAGTAACTTTTCCAAATGTTTGGGTTTGCAGGCGCCATCCAAATGGGTCCTTAACTCAGAAAGCTTTGATTGTGTTTAGCTTCCCTTTACTGAACTACCTTAGTGGTCCATCTTATATTGGTGAGTGTTGTGGAAGCTATCCAGCGCATTAAATGCTATTGAATACTCACAAAGCATGTGCCAAGGGAGAAAAAGAAAACAATTGTTCCCTGAAATATTCAGCCTCTGATGAAAGGAACTTTTAACAGACAGAGGTGTTCATTTCAAGAAGCGATTTCAAGCAAACTTTCTTCCTTTGTAAGTTCTAAGATCAATATTGTATTGAGAAGGACACATGGTTCAGCAATGCTTTGAAAGACTAAAATTAAATAGTTTGTGGTATGTTAGAAGTCATCAAGATTTTAAAATAAGAAACACTTGTGTCCTATTGTTTGTACAAGCACATGCACATACACAACACCGCAACTGAGATAAAAGCTAAGCTGATGGTTCCAAAAATACAGCATAAACAATGTCAAAGTTAAGTGTTGTGGTAAGCACAGTGATCAGAAGCCTACTTATTCGAAGAACAAAATGAGCTTTCTTCAAAACATTGTGTTTCGAAACGAAAGTACCTATCTCCCCAAGATACGATTATTCCTCTAATACAATATGCGAGTACGGCTCAACTGTCATCGGTTTCATACATGCAGAAAGAGTGGGTGCATCTCGCAGAGCAGAATAAAAATACATCATTGCAAAAACATTCCAACGACGTGTTACAAGAATAGAAGATTATTACCTGTCTTTCCATAAAAAAGGTAAAAGGACAAGGCTACTTAAGACATTTTCTGGAATGCAAGAATGTTTTACATTAGTATTTGACACAAGGGGAGGAAAAACCTGCAGCAGCCAAATTGGCTACAGTCCCTCCAGGTCTCATGGTTTCTTATGAGACAGCTCTCAGCCTATCTTCCCAGAATTAAAGCCATTGTTCTGTTGCCAATGTTTGTTTATTTGAAATAACAATAAATATAATACTAAATAATGCTCCCCTTCCCCATGCATCCCTATGGCTCAGTTAGCAATTCAGAACTGGAATATTATGTTTCCCCTCACTGTCTATTATTGCAGTATGCTCCTACTCAGGAGACAAGAGTCCAGGAGCAACTTCAGCAAAGAGTACTTTTTGATGACAAGAGGACAGGATTGGCACAAACTCAAAGCAGCTTTGGGCTATCTCTAATCCAGTGAACCCACAAGAACTTTGAAACTCTTGGACCCTGGTGCACATTCTGGCTCCCCAAGAAATACTCAGGTGTGCATCAGCCCACCTCTGATGTTCCCTCCTCTACCCTGGCACACAGACAGGTACTCAAGTGAGTTCTGGCTGGGTCCACAGTTTGGGCAGAGTGACATGTTACAACACTCATACAATCACTTTTGATACAGCCATGAGGACCAGGGGACCAGATTCTAAACTGCCTGATGCATCTCAGCTACCTGATGACTATTCTGATGCATCCACCTGCCAGAAATTGCCCAGATGCTGTTATCAAGGTTGTAATAAGCCATATGCTCATCAGCCCCTGCAGACCTGCAGTTACACAGGACTATTAGGCAATCAGAAATCTCTTGGAGGTGTTATTCATGTGAAAACCCTGTAATTTCTTGCTATTGGACTATTGCAAAGTTTCCAACATCTGAAAATTACATATTCACCTGAACTATAGACATGGATGGTTGTGGGTATTTCTGCCCAAGGGAAATGCAAAAATATTATTCCTAATTAAATGGGTATGCAGGTCTGTAAACTACTGAATCTTGTCTGAAAGTAACACTTGTTCTGCTTCTAGAGTTAGCAAGGACATAAAGTTAAAACAGCCCAGAGATCTGTTTAGACAAATAAAAAACATAAAGACAGGTGCCAATACCCTCTTTCCTGCCCAGCCAACATCCAGTTTGTCTCTTAGATCCCAGAGCTGCTCAACACCCAGGAAAGGAAAAAACCTCTGATCCATGTAGTCATCTTTTGGAAAGTTACCTTTAGAGTTGTTTTTGCTAGAGGGAACTTTAATTTTATTATCACGTTGTTGTTAAGGTTCATCTTATGGCAGACTTACCACCATAGTTAAGGAGACTGTGTCCCTGGTATTACCACCACCTGGCAAGCTGCAATATACCCATGACAGTGTGAGAGCATCAGGGATTTGCACACCCAGCCCGTCATCATCCTGCAGTTTTCATGAAACTCAGGTCCACAGTGAAGCATGCTCTGTCCCTTTGGCCTCTTGTTATTTATTAAAATATCTGTCTGTCTTTGTCATTTTTCCAACCACAAATAAAAAAAAAAAAAAAATCTTCATCTGATGTGTAGAAAAGAATGGTAGTTCTCTGTCATCACACACTGGCACAGCAGGTGAAAGAAGTCATACATTTTCTTGGTTTTTTTACACAGCTTGAGTTTGGTTTTCCTTATAATTATGCAGATCCTATCCATCAATATGTGAGAAAGGTACATGTGGGAAGGGGTTATACAGTCTGTGAGCTATAAGAAAAATGACTGCAGGATTAAAGAATGATTTAGTGCTGTGGTATTTGTTGCTGTAATAGCATTGCTTTTTTGTTGATGTTGTTGTTTAAATAGGGAAGTACACAAATAGTAGAAATAAACCTGCTTCATTCAAAGTTTAGTCTTGTGGGAAGATGTAAAAAGTATGTGTGCATGGGCATGGTTGTGTGTGTGTTGTTTTCTTCCTACGGGTGTCTGACTGTTCGTTATCCATTTTATGGAAGTATTTCTAATGTATCCTACTATTCATATGGGCTAGTCATCTCTGCAAGAAAAGCATAGGCAGCTGAAAACCTAGCATGGGCTCACTACCTACAGTCCTCTACAATGGGGCTAGCTACCCCTACTGAAATGTTTAAATTTAATTCAGTCAAAAAGTCTCCAAAGCGATTGCCTTTTTGGTAGCAGAGGGTAGGGATTCCACCAGGATTGAGTTTTCTGGTCACGGTTCATAAAGTTGCACACTACTATAAGGTACGGAAACAAACAATACACACTCTGGATGGGTGGAAGAGGGAACAGAGGGACTTCAGACGTCTCTCAGCTAACAGTTAAGTCAAATACATCTGCATGAGTTTATTACATCTAATTTTTAAAGAGTTTGCCCGAGTGCCCTCAGCCAGATCTTTCTTCCCTTTCGTGAGGTAGGCAATCACTCACTCAATGACAGTTACATTCAGCAGTGATTTACATACATCTATTAAAAGGCTTTAGCATCATTTGAATCATTTATCATTTAAAGATGATATAACACTCACAATCACTCCTATCTTTCATTTGGACAAATCGAGTTTTGGAAGGATTTCCAGTTTACTTCCATGATAATATTTTGAACTTTTTAATGTACAGAAGAAATAATATAACATGTAATCTCTTTTAAATTCTGTTTGCACATTTGTGAAAGTGATCTTTGAATTAAATTGCAATGTTAACCTGTTAGCTAGAATAGTATATATCACCTGACAGTCTAAGGGTGCTTCAAATTAGGTTCTTAAAAAGTAAAAGATGAGAAGCACCTGACTTTATCTGTCCCACACTTTCAAATGTCACACATTATAAAATTCACGGAGCGAGCTCATTCCTTTAAGGTTTTCAATTAGCAGCTTCTAATCTACAAATCATTAAAAAAAAAAAAAAAAAAAAAAAAAAAAAAAAAACTAGACAAGAAGGTAAAACTTTTTCTGAAGAATTTCAGGTATGAACAGCTCACCCATCCCTCACCACTGTTTCTCCTTGAGCTGTCCCTATCCCCCCCCTTACTTAAAACGAAAATAAAATTTAAAAAAAAAAAAAAAAAAAAAAAAAAAAAAAAAGGAAAGGAAAAAGCCCAACTCTCAGTATTTTACTGAAATTTTCAGAAAGACCGAGACAAAAATAGGGTCTATTTCACTTTGCAACTGCCTGTAACTTTAGTATAATAAACTCTAAAGGGCACAGCCCTCACCAAAACACTTAAAAACAGCTTGAAAGGGGTACTCTCTGCCCGTTATGTTTACTCAAGCACTTGTTTAAAAACACATTTAAGGAAAATGTTTTTATTTCTACAGATTGCATTAATTATAGCTTTGCAAACACTGCAAGCTGTACAAGAAGACTGAACTGAGCTATTAGCTGCAAACCTCAGGTCTTGGCTAGAGAAGTGGTTATGGCTTATTTAGCAAGCCTAATGAATTGGCTCACCCATCTCTACGCCGAGTTCCATGTTTAGCATCCTGGAGCCTGGAATAGCCAAAGAGGCTTGTTTCACGGCCCTTTATAATTAAAGTAAAATCGGTCGACCCGAAGCCGGTCCAAAAGCAGACCTCACTGCAGCATTATTCCTCTTCGGGAAAATGAAAGCATTAACGCGGCAGCGAGCGTTGGCCCGAAGCTCTGCGGGGACCCACAGTAAACTTCCACTTAGCTGCCACGGGCCGTGCTCTCCCGGGGAGAAACGCGACGGGGCGGCTGCGCCGGCGGCTCCCCACGCAGCCGGACAAGCCGCGGCGGAGCCCCCCCACCTCGCCCGGGGGCTCCATCCCCCGCCCAGCGCGGGGAGCGCCCCTGCGCCCGGCAGCCGGGGGGTGCGGGGCGGCCACCCGCAGCCCGGGGGGGTGTGTGTGGGGGGGTGTTTGGGGGGGTGGTGGAGGGGGGACACACACGGGACCGCACCAGCCCGCTCAGGTGCGCTCCGAGGGACCCACCCGCCCGACGCCCATCGCCCGGCGGCGGGGCGCCCTTACCGTCAGGGCGGAGAGCTTCTGGGCCGGCACGGCGGGGAGCAGCTCAGGCAGCAGCAGCAGCAGCAGCGGCACCCACATCCTGAGGCAGCGGCTCCGGGAAGCGGAGGCGGGGGACTCTCCCTGGGATGTCGCTCCCCGCTCCGACGCCCTGCTTTGGCTCCTTTTCAATCGCTCCCGCTGGGAGGTCCCAGCTGAGGTCCTCTGGCCGCTTTTCCCCCAGCCCACCCCTTGAAATTTGGGGACGGGAGTACAGCAGAGAGGCGGCAGTTGCTCCCTCGCCCCGCGTCCCTCCCTCGCTCCTGGAGCGTCAGCCCCGGCTCCGAGATGCTCCCCAGCCTCTCCTCTCCCAGGCACTGCCGGGGGGGGTCCGCCGGACCCCGCCGCCTTCCCCCCGGGGCGCCGCCCCACCCTCCGCCTCGGACGGGCTGCTGCCTAACCCTGGGGGTCGCTTTCCTTCTCCTCCAGCCTCGTCTCCCCCGGCACGGGGGAAGCGGGAGGAAAAGATTGGGACGGGAAGGGAGGGCCCTCCCACACCACCCCTCCGGTGTCCGCCGCCGGCGGGGGGCCGCGGGAAGGCACTGCCGCGGCTGCGGAGGCTGGCGGTGTGCGACCTCACCGAGCCGCTCTTCCCCTTTTCCTCTTATCCTCCCCCCTCCCCAGCCCGGCCTCCGCTTTCTCCTCCCAGACCCACAGATCCTCTGCGATTAACCCTCCCAGTTGCTCCCGGGGGGACGCCGGCTTGTTGCCCCCGCAGGGCTCATTTCCCCCCCCCCCCCGCTGCCCCCTCTCCTGCTGAATCAACATGTACAAATACAAGCAGCTCCTGGCGGGGGAGGGGGTGGGGGGGTTGAGAAGCCCCCCGACCCGCTTTCCGGGGCACCCCGACTCCCTCCCGGCTCTCCTCGACCCCGTCCCGGGTCGCCCCGCCGGGCACCGCACGGGGCGGGCAGCAAGGGCCGCGACAGCCACATTTCTGGGGGGCACAAGGCGGGCAGCGGCGCCCTGCGGGGTGGCGGGGGTGTCCCTTGGGGGGGGGGGGGGGGGGCGACGGGGAGCGGGCACTGCTGGCCGGGGGCGGTGCACCCCGCTCTCCCGAGGCGGCGTACCCCGCGGAGGCGCAGGTCGGTGCCTCGCCTGCAGGGAATGCCGGGTGAAACCGTCCTTCCGGCAGCTTTGCGCTTGTCTCGCTTATCTTTTAGGAGGCAAATAGAGGTATTTTGTTATTTCCTTACCGTGAACCTCCAGAAGATCTCCTCCCCCCCCCCCCCCCCCCCCCCCGGCTGCCTGACAGAAACCCTTTTACTGCAGTTTTGTCAGCGGAGGAGTCCCCCGCTCCCCCCGTGAGACCCGCGGCCGCTGCCAGCCCGCAGAGATCGCCACGGTTCCCCGGTGCTACCGGTCAGTCTGGAGCCATCGGGCCATCAGCTTTATTCTTAGGGTGTGCGCGTTTGTGGGAGAGGACCCGGGCGTGGAAGTGCTTCGGGGAGGCTGCAGAGAGGCGCACTCCCAGCCCACGAGTGACAACTTGCCCGAGTGTCCAGCTCTGCCCCTGCAAGCTTGTGCCACCCAGGCAGTCACACACACGGCCTCAGCCGGGGCTCAGGACGGAGCGTGCTTTCCGGGGCAGTAGCTGCACGCGTGGTGAACCACGGTGGAGGGATGCAGAGATTAATTACAGACTTGGGTGCCCTGCTTGAGACACCTACAGCTGACTTTTCCAGATTCTACGGCATTCAAGGCATGCAGCCAACAATCTTGTCACAGCTTCTCCCAGTCTCAACTGAGCACCCAGAGTCACAAGAATTTAGCAAGCCCCCTTTTCAAAAAGTATGGTTTTAAACAACTCCGTTATTGACACAAAGTATGTGCATGCATGTGTGCGTGTGTACCCCATAATATCTCCTGGGCTTTTTAAGTGGGAAAAAGAAGAGAAAGCTATCATATTGGCATTGCCCAGGCCAGAGCATGTTTGAGACCCTTCACTGCACCACACAGACCTCCGTCAGTCTCGGACCAGCAGCGTCTCGTGTGGAGATAGCAGATTGCCATTCGCTGCAGTTGGCAGTGCAGGACGTTTTCCCGACATGGGCTTCCCAGCCCTCTCCTCTCGGCTGGGAGATGGTGAAACTTGGCAGCGCTGATGTCTCTGTCCGAGACAGAAGGAGCTTTTTTTTGTGTGTGACCATGACTCCAGCCTCTTCCACACCTCAAAGTTACTCTCCACACGGACCTAGTCCCGTTTTCCTCTTATCAAACCTCTAATTCCCATTGCCTTGCCAAGGCAGTCAGTCTCACCTCTCCAGAATCCTCTTTCATCCTTTTCCATCTCCACCAGTCCATCCCAGTCTGTCTCCCAGTTTGGGCCCAGGTCCCCTTCATCACCAAGCAGCCCTACAACCCCATTTCCCTTCTGCCATCCTCCTTGCAGCTCGCTAGCCCCCCAGTCGCTTCGCCTTCAGCTCAGTGTCCTGCTGCGCCTGGCCAGCGTGCATCTGGGCAAAGGCGATTCACGGCCGACAGGCCCTTTGCTCTCCATTAATCTGTGGATTACTTACTAAATGGCACAGCAGATTGGATTTGACAGTACAGGGAAAAAAATCTATGCCCAGAATAGATAAGAAATTTATCTAATAAAATCAAGCTTCAGGTTTTTGAGGGTTTATAACTTAGTCAAATTTGAGTGGATTTCCACTGAGCTGGGAATAGCCAAAAGGCAAAAACTCTGCAAAAAGGGAAGTCTAAAGTCCAGAAACTGGTGGCATTATGGTTTTAAAATAAAGATGCTTTGCCAAACTATGAACTGTTACTTTGTCTACTGTCATTTCTCCAGCCTTTTTCTCAAAAGAGACTTGACTATGCCACTTAAATTTTCTTCTTCCCTTTCTTTTCCCCCCATTCCAGAGATAATTCACCCTAAGGCAAGTATTTTCAAAGGAAAATGTGAGACAAAATAATAAAAATCTGGCAAGGTTTAAGCAACTGAAAATAATGTTTTATAATATAACAGTGATTTTAACAGGCAGAGCTTCCAGCCACTACCATGGTGGCAATAAACCTATCTGCCTCCAAGAACTTCCAGTGTGATTAGACAAGGGATATAAAGAGGGAAATAAGTGGTTTTCCTCATTAAAGCTGGGGAAGGGCTATGAGGGACAGTCACATCAGTATTCTTTACAGGTGTTGATTTCCCATTTACAAAGGAGACAGGTTTCCAGAAGGACTCATGGGTCCATTCACAACAATACATTGCAGGTGTCCCCTTCTGCAGAGATGCCACTGAAGGAAAATTTTGGTTTACATTACTTGCTGTAGTTTGTCAGTGGTGGGTTTATCCTGAAGCCAGCGCTCAGACCCCACTGCCAGACATGTTCTGGGTTATGGATTAGGGTTAGTTTTGACCCATTCTTCCACCTCACACCAGGACCATGTCCATACTTGATCTGTGATACATTCGGAATTATATCCAAGTTTCCTGAGGTCCTACACTTCTGCTATTGTAATGAGACCTACGTTTTCTCCTCTTCCCCATGTTTTTTTAGAACTTCTCTAGAGAGAAACTCACGTTGCTTAGATGAGTGAGCCTCATGGAGCAGTCCTGTATAGTTTAACAACAGTGGATACAAATATACAGGAAATACTCGGTAGAATTTATTAGATTATGAATGCTTTCTTTTCATGCTTTTAATTAAGTCAGAAAAGGCAAAAGGGAATTATCTCTCTGCTGTAGAATTGTGCAGGCTGTTTTAGGTCCTGTGGATGGTTGACAATCCTGCATTAAATTCAAAAGGATTGTTGCAGTAAGGATCTTGGAAATTGCAGTAAGGATCTTGGAAATTCTAACTGTGAGAAAGGAAGAATTATCTGGCTCTTAACTATCAAGGCTACAGAAAGTAAATCCTCTTAGGTTTCAATGCAGTACTGTAACAACAGGGATGGACAGCTAGATCCAAGCCGTGTTACTTGGCTGGGGTATGTAAGCGTTCAGCAGTCTGCTTTTCATAGTAGGATCAGGTGTTGTTTGACAGAGGATAATGCAATTCTCAGAAAGATTCTTTTTCTCCCGTGGATTCCTGGCACCCTCCTTCAAAGGATTACCAAGCAGATGCTGTGCTCTCACCTGCTTTCCAAGTTTGCTGTTTCTCAAGCAGCAAATGCGTTCTGCAACCTCGCTTGAGGTATACCAAACGCTTGATTAATTTTTAAAGTTTGGAAGAATAATGGGAAATAATATTAAAAGTCAAGCATGCAGTTCTTGTAATACTTAGAGAATATACAGGCAGATACAGACATGCAAATAAGTACAGAACAGTTATTTCTATGTTCTCTTTCTCTCCTAGATTTCTACATTACTGAGTATCATGAAGTCTTGGTCAGTGACAGAGATCAACTGGGCCTATAGCAAATAATAAAAAAGTAGATGTAATTATTTTTTTATATACTTTTAAAGAATTATCACTTAGCTTCTTATAAACAAAGATGCCAAACCAAAAACAACTGACATCAATGGCAAGTCTCCCATGGCTTTAATATGAGTACCAATGTAAAGCTCACAAGCAGTGACCCAAGACTCCATCCCTACCATACTTGTGGTATCATTAAACTGTATTCACAGGCTTTCATACTTCATATGGATGATATACCATATATACCATATGCTTAGTTTAAAGAGATAAGAAAAGACTCTGCTGTCCTATTTCTTTGTGTTTGCTGTGAGTAGTAGGGAAGATGAAGTCTAGTAGATACATAGGAGTTTGTGGGACTTCTTAAGCAAAAATAAAAAATGACTCATTCATTTCATATTTTTTTTTTAAGTAGAAAATGGTCTTTATAAGCTTCTTTAACATGTAGTTGTTTTAACACAGTTATGAGCAAGCAGCTCTGCTGGTGCCATGTGAAATGCGGGATGGAATTTTTAAAAGTGTTTATGAGAACCAGGGGCTGAGATCCTATTTTGAGCTACACAGGTGAGCCAAACCCTCATCCAAAACACCAAGGCCCATGCATTATTTGATGATTAAAAATAAAATCATCAAACTGGCCTTTTAGAAAGGGGATAGAAAGTAGAAGTCAAGTTAAAACTGTGGAGAACAGTTTTAACAGCCTGTGTGTGGCTGGTTGTCCTTGGGAAAAACAGATATCTTTGAAAAGCATCATCCTTCAGTTAAACTTTCTAGTTTCAGCATGTTGCATTTTTCACGATTAGAGCTTACTGTGTGCGGTTTTATCACACTTTAGTGAGCAGACAGTATGAGGAAGAGGACTTAATCCTTCAGGACAACAGCAACAATAAAAAAACCCTGCCCTGCATCTAGTCTGGTGAGAGGAGCACTAGTACCTTCCCCATCTGCCAGAGACACGGTTCTGCTGTGCTCTCCCCATCACCCAAAGCCAGCATGCTCTTCAGACTTCTCAGAAGGTTGCTTGCTGCAATGCAGAGAGAGGCATTGCTGCTGACTGACTCACTCACCTTGCATTAAATCACCCTCCTGCATCACCTCGGCTCTGTGGCCAGAGGAGCTCCTCTTTCACCCAAGTATAGAACCTGGGACAGTGTGGTTGGGATCAGGACCAAACCTTGAAAAATTGGCTGGCTACTGAGTTAAAGAAGCACCTGGGAT